AAACTTGGGATGGAGACATTTAATTCCACTTCATGCCACAAAATAATTTGGGACTATAGTGTTGACTTTGACTTTGAAGCTGTGCTAAGAATTAATATTGCCCTAAATAAAAAATATTTTGTCCCTTCGTACTAATTAGAACTATAATAAGTGAATAATAATTAAAAGACCCACAGTAAATACCTTCCACACAACTTTAGAGCATTTTTTAAAGCAATAGGAAAAAGTTAACACTTGGTTTCTCAATACATGCAAACTTTTACGAAATACTTTTAAGTTTCCTTTAAGCAACCTGTCCATAGTGGAAGGTTTAAGAGATTTGCAGAAGTATTATTCAGCACAGCAGACAGGCACTACAAGATCATGCTTGGCTTTTCATAATATGACCAGAAGCTTTAGAAAGTGTAGATAATATAACTCATTTCCAAAATGAGCCCTTTTTTAAAAAAAGGAACTTCGATCAAAATGAGTCATAGAATAAGCAGTCATAGAATTTTAAGTTCTGAATTGTATAAAAACTGCATATGCTTCAAGGAAAACAGAGGTAAGAACTTCATTTGAAAAATTGTTATTAGATCATCAGATTCTACATTTAAAAAAATTGTAAAATGTTTACTTTGAGCTGTACATCATAAGTTTATTGGAAAAGCTAATCTGTGTGATACAGCAAAAGCAATATACCTGTTCACTTCGATACCCCCTCTTGTTTGAGGTAGGTGTTAAATAATACTTTCACAGGAAATTAAAACTTCAGAGCAAGATAACCAGTCTTTTTATAATTAAATTGTCAGTTAATACAAAACTATATAAATTGAAGTAGATTTGAGGTGACCTTAGTCATTTTTAAAAAGTAAGGTTGACTTGCCTTACTGCGGTCAACAGATGCAAGGCTAAAACTCTAAGAAACAATTTCTTATTTCATATTCCCTTTTTCAGAAGTGGATTATTTTATGTGGGATGACTACATATTAATATTAGGATAGCTATACATTTAATTATGGGCAAACATCTTAGAGAAACCAGTCCTATTTGTGAATCTATTAGAAAACAGAAAAAGGTTGAAGTAAAATATTAACTGAAATCAATTATGATGCTATGCAATCCTTTATTTTAATAATGTAACTTGTCTTATACTACAGTTCCCTTCTCCAAGTTCTATACAGGTTTCACAATTCATAATGAGAAATTTGCCTGGAAATATATAGAACTGAAATCCTGAGAAATCCAGTGGGCAACTTTTGGGAGAAAGTTTCAAGTCATAGAAAAATATGTCTAGAGTATTAAACAGAAAATTCCAAAATTCTGTCTCTTTCTAACCATTTTTTTAAAAAATCATTTACTGCTTTCTTCTAACTGTAAGGTCAATTGATAAACAAGGATGGAATAAAAGTATCCATAGCAGAACACAGGAACAGGTGTATCAAATGCCAGACAGAAATGTTTCTGTCATATCTTAGAAACAATTTATTTGTAAGAACACACATTAAAACAGGTAAGTATATGTGCATACAAAATATAGGTATTAGGAAAATACATATAAAATGTGTTAGTAAAGAATCAGCAAAATGTATAAAAATGTCAGTAATAGGAAATTGTTACTGAAAACATATAAAATGTTTTGTGTGAAAGTGCCTATATACTATATCTGAATATACTTCTTAACATTCAGATGTGTTGTGAATTATTTTATTAATTCCAATTCCCAGAGCTGTAGATCCAGTACATCTGAAAGATGTCAGACTTGTGAAGGATTATTGCATGAAGGTTAGTTGAAATATAAAGCAAAGTTGTTACTACTAACCTGAAAAGATCTCCAAATTTGCTTCTAAGATGGCTACAGGATCCATAGAGATCATACAGATAGGCTAAAATACACCTTTCAGGAGAAGAGCATTCTGATGGATTGACTATGTGTTTGACAACACCACATAATCTATAGAAAGATAAATTCATTATTAAAAATTAGAAGTCAGTCATAGTACTGTCCTTTCACATGATTTAAAACTATGGAATTGAATACGGTCTTAAAAACTACTATGAGTTTCCAAAACAAGGAATAATATTTATATTTAATTCTAGAAATACAGTTGTATACAAACCAGATGAAGAATCTGCAATTTATGTGTCTGGAGCTATCTATGACCCTCTATTGTAAAGCCTTTTCAAAGGTTGCCAGCAAATTATAACTGTAAACGTGATGATAGGGTAAATAATCAAGTGCATGGGAAGTAATGAAATCAAGTGTATATCATTACTTAATAATTATTATATAACTCAACATTAGATTTATATTGGCTTGTTGGAACTTAACTCTAAAGCTAGATACAACCTTAGCCTAAAACAAGGTTCTGTATACCCAGCATAGTTATGTTATGGATCTGTCTATACTACAAATGTTTTAATAATCTCTAAGCCAGGGGTGTCAAACTCACATACTCACAATGGTGTCACGTGACATATCGGAACTTTTTTCCCCTTTGCTAAACTGGGCGTGGATGTGGCCAGTGCATGACATATCTAGCCTGGGAATTTGACAGCCCTGCTCTAAGCTATAATAGCTGATAAGCAAATCAATCAACTCAGAAACCCATAATACACAGTCTCTTCAATAAATTTAGTTAAGACTAATCTGATAACTAAAAAGAATATCTATATCTATCTATATCTTTTGATTTTATCTATCTATCTATATATTATTTTTAAGACTAATAAAAAGTAATAAAAGTAACATTTATAGAATCACAAAAATGAATTCAAATATATAAAACCAAGAATTCATATATGTGGAAATGTATTCTGTCCAACACATTGTAAATGTATCTATTAAACTAGAATTCAGATATTCCTTCTGAGATCACTGCCTATCTTGGAAGAACTCATTAGCTCAGAGATAAGGCTATTTCAGGCACTTTAAAATCTATTAGATTAAGAAAACAATGAGTATTTGAATCTAATTCTATTAAGTTTCTGTCTTTCTGATTACATGAAGGTGTTAAATTTCCCATTGAACTCTCAAATAATACTGCGTCCTAATTACAAACTGACCATACTAATGTTAGAAAACTAAGTAGTGTTTGAAAAACTACTACAAACCCTTCAAAAACCTGAGCAGTTTGATCTGGATTCAAAATGAGGCAAGCATGATAATGCCTTAGCACAGCTACAATGCAAACACACAGTCCAGTTGTGTAATTTCCTGCCAGGCTGGATGACTTCAGTAGTAGTTCAGCTTCCACCACACTCAGCTCATTCAGCAGCTAAAATAAAAGGTTAAATATCGCTTTAGGATTCCTCTCTAAATCTAAATTCCACAGAATTGCATTGTAGTTGTTTGTCATTGCTGAACTATTTAAGTAGATATAGAGTGGTTTCACGTAGCAAAAAATCTGGCTTCCTAATCAAATCCTAATCAAAAGGTACCCACTGCACACTAATTTGATCACATCCACTATAGGAAGTGTGCTGGCCTTCTTTTACATATAGTTGTATACGTAATTTATTTAGAATATTACCTCAACCAAGAACAACAAAGACTTAATTATTGATCTAAATGACATGTTCAAGAAAGCACAGCTGAAGCCATTCATATAACATGGATTTATATGGATCTATATTATTGTGTGTTTTAGATATTCCCATTATCACTTGGGAGTCAGAAAGCATCTGATTTGACACTCCTGCACTGATATTCATTGCTTATAATTTAGAAGGCCATAATTCTGGCTTCCTGTGATATACAAATGCTCATACAATGTTGCAATCCCTTTTCCTTCAAAGAGATGCATTAAAAATGTAATAGATTTTGAACAGGAATATCAATACCCTCAGGCAAGTCAATAATTTACAAGGATCTTCCCTCATCTGAGAAGTCTTTGACTTTTCTCTCAAAGTTCTATATCTGGAACAAACTTCTATTTATTCTCTTTCAAAAAATATTTTCCAATCATTAAAGTATACAAAAGTGAAACGAATCTAAAATACTTCAACTCTAAGAAACAAATTCTAGATTTAGGTATTTCTTAGCATGAAAAATTGTATTACTGGAGTTGGATAGAGCCTAGTATTGTAATTGTTACTCTTAAACACTATACAGTTTCCTGGCTTCAGGAGCGAAAGCCATTTGAAAGGTACTAGAAACCTTGCCTTATTTTAGCTGAGAATGGAAATAAGCTATCATGCCATTGAAATGCATGCACACTGGCATTTGCAAATTTATTGCTAAAGTCACTATCACAATACCACTGGCATTCACAGGAAGAGGCAAAAAAAAAAAGCCCACTACATTAGTATGTGGTTGATGTCACATGAACATGCAAAGTGGAGGACTTCAATCATGCTGCTGCAACAACTATTATCTTGCCTTTTTGGATCCCACTCTCTCCCCATGGACACAGGTACCTAGGGCTATAGTGTCTGAAGCTGATCAGCTGAATTTGGTATGAATAATTTTCTTCTATCTTTTAACATCTAATTATTTTACAAGATCCTAATGTGGTTAATGTAGAATAAAATTCTGCTGATTGGGAAGTGGACATTCTATGGATCATGAAATATCTTGCATTTATTCCTTTAAAACTGGCTAGGAGCACAGGAGGAGAGAGAGAGAGACTTCCATATTAATAAAATGGAATGATGGAGTTTAGCAAGTCTCTATCCAAATGTTGAAAGTTATTGTTTTAAATATTTTGTACTTCTCTTAAAAGGTCTTAAAGTTGGAATAAAATAGTTTAAATAAAGATGTATATATAAATTTCATTTCAGGTACCTGAACAGCAAAGTCAATAAGTCCATTAATATTTAAAGCAGGTTCCATTAGATCAAAGATAAATTCTATGTGATGAGCTAGTGGAAGATGATATGATGTTCCTGATGCAAAACTAGTAATCTGCTCCAGAACATTGTTGGAGATCTGTTTAAAAACAAACAGACCCATTAGCAAAGTGAAGCATTGTGGGAACCAGTATAGCAAAGAATTAGCAAGCATACGTACACATAACTGTAAGGGGTGGGATCAGGTATAAAGTTAGAGAAATTAATTCAGACCTTCAAATTGTAGCTTAAGGTGAAACTGAATCTCTACAAAGAGTCTGTATCTTAAAATTAGGGTTCATGAATGAGTTGATGCTTTGAACCTCTGGAAAAAGATGGATGCTGGATGCATTAAAAAGAAATCTATTTCTACAGTGTATATTTTAATGGATTCTGTTTATTGATGAAATGACTTCCAGGTAATATCACATGATATAATAAACTATGCTATCTTCTTGAAGCAAATATGAAACTGGAGGACATTCCACTTATTTCCACAGAATTATTTCATGGGAAATAGAAATGTATACTTTCATCTAAATAATTCAAATGACAATCAGATTGATATAATGGTTAAAAGCACTGGGCTAAAAAAATAAAGCACTGTAGATTTTAGTTCTGCTTTATGGAGAAAACCAGCTGTGATCTAGGGGCAGTGACTCTCTCTTTGCTCTAGGAAATAGGGAATGATAAACCAGTTCTGAAAATTGTTGCAAAGAAAACTGCAGGTCCTTCTCTAGAACAGGGGTCGCCAACCTTTTGGACTTCAGGGACCACCAAACTCATAATTTTAAATCCCATGGACCACTAATATGAATTTTGACTGATGGTGGCTTGCTGACATTGGTGAGAAAGTTGGTCCCATATTCCAGAGCTGCAGTAATCACAGTCATCCCGGAGCACCTCCTCCAGTCCATGGCAGGCCAGTGCACCTGGGTGGAGGAGCAGCTGTTCCAAGATGATCAAAGGGTCAGTCCGTGAGTACTGCATCTCTGGAATATGGGACCGACTTTCCCACCAATGTCAGCAAGCCACCTTGGGGCAGATCCCCCCCCCACACACACACCATTGGTCTTACCTTCCAGTTCCAGCTCACATAGCTCTACTCAAGGTAAGGTTTGCGCTCGTCCGAAGCATGGGGGCCAGTGGGTGGGTGGGCCATGTGGGTGGCACAGTCTTGTGTTCCCATACAGATTGGATTAATTGCTTTTGGGGAGTGCTTTGGGTGGACATTTCTCTGCGGACCACCAAAATTTTCTTGCAAAGCAACAGTGGTCCGCGGCCCACGGCCCACTGGTTGGTGACCACTGCTCTAGAATGTCACTAAGAGCCAAGACTCAAAATCATACATATATGCATGAAAAAATACATATTGTAGTTGTGAGCATTCTGCTTGAAAGGGATATCACTTGACAAGTTCAGTTATGCAAATATTCAATGTTTTGTGGTCATTTTATTATGATTGTATTGCTTGATAAGCTATTATGAGAAAGGGGGAAACAGACTAAAAGTTAGGCCTACTCTGTAGCAGCCCCCAATATTTTGGTATACTTTCCTCCCAAGAAGGTTCTGGGCCCTCTTGTTTTTGGAATTTATAAATGCATGAAAACAAATTTAAAAAATTAATGGTCATTCAGCTGCTGCTATTTGTTTTTTAATATACTGTATTTTAATGAGGTTGGGAGATGAGAGTTTTATTCTATGTTATAGGAGATTTGAATATATATTTTCAACACTGCCTGGAGTTGTATGATAAATCAATCTAGAGATAGATAGATAGATAGATAGATAGATAGATAGATAGATAGATAGATAGATAGATAGATAGATAGATAGATAGATAGATAGAGATAATCCATTGCAGTATATGATGGATATAAGGAAACTGTTAAATTTTAAAGTTTATCTATAAATCAAAATGCTTGCAATAGGTGGGAAACAGTCATTTATATTTAGAAAACTCATCTAAATGATGAGCACACAATAGTCGTATTCTAAAAAATAACGTTATTTCCAAAGTAACAAAATAATTCTAATCAAGTCTCTGAAATTAAACAGATTTCTTGCTACAGATCATATTATTATTACTTCAAATTTTCAAATAAAGCTAAACTCCTGGTGATTTAAGGAATACATGTATACATTTTCCTAACATAATATAGAAGTGATTTGCCATCAATTAATGAGTTTACTTCTTACAAATCCAAAAAGTAGGAGTCTACTTTTACTTCACATTTGTGTGAATTTTTTTCTTGCTGTAAGTAAAAACATGAGTACAAATGTTACCTAATTCTATCTACCCAAAACAATAATAATTAATGACTTTATTAAAAAGCAGATTTTAAAGTTAAAGTTAACCTGCAAACACCTACATTCTTGGTATGCAATTAGAAATTCATTCATCATTCCTTGTAATTTTCTAACATTCCTGCATAATTGCTAACTCAGTTGTCGTCCTATGTGCTTTTCTCATGGCATTTAGTGGAAAACATGAATCTTAACTCACATGAAGTTTAACAATGGCATCTTCCAAATTTAAGCAGTTTCTTCTTCCAACCTGCCATACTTTCCTCAAGTTAAGTTTTGCAGTCAGTACAAAATTCCACTTTCCATCTTTTGTCCAAAAAGACAGAAATGTACCAGCACTGGCATTCTTCCTAGCTCAACCCTAGAACAGTTTTAAACTCTTTTAATTTGTTTCAACATCACCATAAAGATTTTATGTGGTGAGAATGTCTGATTCACACTCTATTGCATTTCTGAAATACAATGAACGTATTACAGAAATAGCTTGCAATGCTGCTATATCTCTTTTCTTTTGTGTTTGGCATCAAAGCAAACACCTCCAGCTATTCACGAAACATGCAGGCTAGGGCTAATTTTCTAGTGATGATTGTAATATGAATCAAGACTCTAAGTTCCTAACAGCTGTGATTTAAAATGACATAGGAAAACGCCATTTAAAGTATTCTAAATGAACTAATGATTAAATGTGATTCAAAAGTTAGTAAGTTTAGTAAGTTAGTCTGAAATGTTTTGTTTTTTACCATCCACTCATCTAAAATCCACTTTCCAGCATCTTCTTATAGTCCAATCCTTTTTGTATACCCAGAAACACACACACACATTTGCTTTCATAAATTTAGCCCTGTTGTACTCATCTAGCAGTTCATCTAGTGATGAACTTTTTTTCTCTCCACAACTTCCACTTTATACTGTATGTATTTTATATTTCACTCTAAATTCAATGCAATTTCTGTCATCAATGGCAGCATAGAAGTACCTGACTTGTCACTTGATGCTGGTCAAAGTATGAGAGCTGCTGAAGTTTTTTAAATACAGTCTCTAAAGTTGGAAATGCCTCTTGCCTGTTCTTCCGGATCTTTTGACCTTCATCACCACCTAAAACATATGTTTGTTATGCTTTGCAGTAAATAAAAGTCATATATTATGTAAAAAGCAAATTTTATTTTCTTTAAAAAAATAATCTCTATTTAAATATATTTCAGAAGAATATTCAAGAAGATGAAATTACATTGCAATCTGGTGTGGAAAACCCTCAACTTCTTTTAAAAAAACATGTGTTTCAATTTACAATCTTACAAAGTTCATATCAGTTCATATTGGTGCAAGCTACTTATAATTGCTTTACATGTTATGCTTCACAGCAGTCTTAAAACAGTTATTCTCAAAAGCATAATTGTCATTAAAAACTTGCAAACTTTATAAAGATGCCCCTTCTCAACCCACAACTGTGCTATTCTATGCACTGCAAAATAAGCATCAACAGCTAGTTAATTACCACTCATTTCAGAAGTGCTTTTCTTATTTAGGATTTTCAGAATATCTCGGGTAATCTTCTTCAGTTGATGCCTGGCCTCTTCACGTTCCTTTCCAACTCCATAAAGAAGTATCATGCGCTGGTTATATTCATGACTTGATGATTCATCCTTTTAGTCAGAAAAGAAACAAAAGGTATTGACAAATAAATAAAGTACGGTCGCTTCTCTAATGAATTATTACAAGAGAGTATTTCTGTGTGGCTTTTCTACGAAGAACAGACTGTCTGGGAATTATGGAAGTAAGCTCCATCTGCAGTACTAAAACAGCAAACCAGACCCTTTCCTAAAAGTAATTACTGTAACTACTTTAAAATAGCTATTATATTGGATTTGACATTATTTCAGTAATGGAAGTTCTGATCCACTGAATACTTTAATGAAAGGCACGAGAAAGACATAATTTTAAACAAGTTCCTTCTTTTCCTTAGAACAGTGGTCCCAACCTTTCTGGCTTCGTAGACTGGGAGTGGTGGCAGCAGCACTGGTGTGGGTAGGGACCGGATGATTTTGTTCTTGTAACCTAATCCTGTGATATGTGCAAATGGATGTTTGCACGCTCATCCACCACTTTCATGGCCTGGTTCCCAATAGACTGTGTACTGGTATTGGGCCATGGACTAGGGGTTAAGACCCTGCCCTAGAACATTCCCAAAATCTTCAGGATGCTTCAACCAATGTAGAAGACCACAATGAAAGAGGGAATCAACCAAAAAAGCTCAGGGCAAAAGTACAAATCCAGCACCATCACTATTAAATACACAAGTAAATCTTTATGTTCAGTTCATGCATATTAAAACCAAGGAAGAGTATAATATAGTAAGGCATGCTATCTGCTATTGATGATAGAACAGAAGCGAGGAAGGCACAGGTTCTAGTCCTCTGTTAAGCATAGGAGCCAGATGGGTTATTTTTGGTTGTACAAGAAAGTAATGGAAAAGCATTTCTGAAATCTTTCCAAGAAAACTGCATGGATCTGTCCATGAAGTCACCAGGACTCAGGATTGAATATGAGGAGAGAAGGGGAGGGGAGGAGAGGACAAGCTTCAAAAATATCATGAACACAAAAGTGAAGACCTCTATGTATAGAAGCAGTAGTCTTTAAATATTATTTCAAAGAAAATAACTATTTAGAAAAAATCCCTGCATTGAACATTTTGTGAACCCAACCTGGGGCTACTCTTAATCTGATTGGGAGGGTTCTTCAGAATGTATATATTTCATATATTTCATCATAAAG